CTGATGATATAATTACATTTTGGCCAATGTTGAAGTGTTTTTTTTTTTTTTTTAAATTTCACTGTGTTGTGGAATACTTATTTTCTGTATCACCTTGACACTGACCACTTGTTCCTGTTCCTGAAGATATGAATATCTTGTGATATCCTTCCGGACGTCAGCATCAAGTTGACCTATTTCCGTGTATCAGGATGGGGCAGGTTATGATTGGTTGTTCATTCTCACACGATGTTAGATGACAGAATGCTGTATATGAGACCTCTCGAGACACAGTGTGCAAGAGAGTTAGACAGTGAGCAGTGTGGAGTGACAGACAGAGAGGCACAGAGACAGGCCAGGTTCTCTGTGTTTCCTGTTGTTGCAATAAAACTCAGCTGATCATCCCACGGAGTACCTTCATTCTTGGACCAGCGTATTTCTGTCTCTGTTGTTAAATAAATATTGCCATAACACACTGGTTTATCTCTTTTTTACTATTTAACCAGGCAAATCCCATTGAGATCACAGATCTCTTTTGCAATGATGGCCTGTGCCTGAAGGCAACCTATTGTACATGCTGGTTTTTGACCTGTTTTTGGCTGATAAAAAAATAATGTTTTGGCCAATGTTGAAATGATTTTGTAGTTAATGTTGCACTGGTTTTGTTGTAAGTTTTGACCTGTTTTACCTAATAACATTAAGTTTGTTCCCATGTTGACTTTTTTTCTTTTTTTTTTCTTTTTTTCTTTTTTTGATGTTTTACTGTAATTACCTCCGCCAAGGGAGGAGGTAATGTTTTCTGTCGCGAATGTCTGTCTGTCTGTGGACAAAATTACTCAAAAACTTATGGATGGATTTTCATGACATTTTCACCACAAGTGGGTGTTGGTCAAAGGAACACACCATTAAATTTTGGTGATGATCTGGACCACAATCTGGACCCAGGAACAGCCAATCCGCTTCAAGGAAGCTGACCATAGACTTCCAATCACATCGGATCATTCGTAGACAGGTCAACCCCCTGACTGTAGACATCCAATGGGATTGCCTGAAGCAGAATAGAAGACCAATCACAAAGCACATGGAAATAAAACTTTAGACCGAATTGTTTTTAAATGGAAAAACTTACTGTTTGAAGTTATTTTAATGTAACAACAGATCATTTTCATAATACATCGGCCTGCGTGTCCTAACAATTTTGTATTTTTGTTTACGTTTTTGGAGTCCCCCCCACCCCCCACCCCCCCACCTGTATCGGAAAGGTAAGCTAGCTAACTCACCACCCCGTTCAGATCTGTTATCCAGTAGATAACGCTTAGGTTTTCTTAAACAATTATGTTTATTCTGGTATTTTTTATGGCTAAATGTTTTTTTTCTGATGCTGTTCCACTCCTTCTGTTGCATGTAATTTATTACGTGTTTAGTCATTGCAAAGCACTTGTACACAAACACACATATGACTAAAAATGTAATAAATCGCACACAAAACAAACACACACACTCACACACAAACATACAGCCTTGGCGGAGGTTTGCGCTCTCGGAGTGCTTCTAGTTTTATTTATCTTTTATTTTTTCTTGTTTTTGACCTGTTTGCACCTAATGTGGTTTCAGGAGTCCTGATCTTCAGCTGAACTCCGTCTGAGCTCAGACCCCCTCCTGTCTCTTTCTTCAGCCTCCATCAGCAGTTGTTTTGTGATCTGCTGCCGTCTCTTGGTCCATTGATTGTTGGCGCCTCGCTCCTTATAGATCTGTGTTTTTGCTCCATGTCAGCAGTATCCAACTCTCTGTTCATGTTGCATTTTTCACACTGAGCCCACAGTTTCAGCATTTGTTTATTCTGACGCACTCAAACAGCTATAAACACAGTTTATTTCTGCAACACTTGAAACATTTTTCTTTCTTACAAACATGCTCAGAACCACCTGCCGTCAGAGCGTCAGGTCAATACACACATCCGTCCTGGACGCCTCCGTGTGGGGCTGACGGCGCTCGGGACCATGATGAAAGCTCTCTGATGCAAATGGAGACTCAATTACTTCGGTCAATCTGTTGGAGGGAGTGTGTGTTTGTAGGAGTGTGTGTTTGTGGAGWGTGTGTGTTTGTGGGTTTACCCAGCGGGCCCCTGGCTCGAGGGCTCTCCAGTGGCTTGTTAAGATGCCGTCAAGAGCTCTTGGCTTTGAATTGGCCTTTTGTCAGGCGAGCTGCCAGAGGAGGCGGGAAACACCGACAGACYGTGTGTGCGTGCATGTGTGTGTGTTTTGTGTCATTAAAACACTCCTTATTTACACCAACAGTTCCTTCAGGTCCAACAGTGAATTGGTTCTTATCAAGTCTTCCAGACTGGAATCAGAACCTGAAGTCAGATGAGTTCTGAACTTCAAATAAAGACCTGATTGTAGCAGGTTCTGTTTCTGTTACATGGTGGGTTCTTGTCAGAACCTGATCAGGTTGGATTCAGCAGGACGTTCTTCAGCATTTTTGTAAAGTTTCCACAGTCTGAACTGGTTTTGTACAAGATCTTGGACTGATTTTAGACCAGGCCTTTGACTGGTTTAGGACCTGGTTTTGGACCAAATCTTGGACCAGTTTAAGGCTGGTTCTAGTCTTTGTTGGTCAAGCACTTTAAAAATTGGGTTTTAACAGATTTGCTCCTGATTTTAAACTAGTTTTATCTGCACTTCTTATTGCTGGGAAATGTTTTTACTGGTTCTTGGTTTTGTTGGTGAACTGTGTTGGACGGTTGGCGGACTGGTGTTAGACTGGTGCTGTACTGGTATTGGACTGGTGCTGTACCGGTATTGGACTGGTGCTGTACCGGTATTGGACTGGTGCTGTACTGGTATTGGACTGGTGCTGTACTGGTATTGGATTGGTGCTGTACTGGTATTGGACTGGTGCTGTACTGGTGTTAGATTGGTGCTGTACTGGTATTGGACTGGTGCTATACTGGCGTTAGACTAGTGTTGGACTGTTGCTGGACTGGTGGTAGACTGGATTTTGGATTGTGGGATGCTCTGATCTTATTAATCTGTCTTACTGAACAGAAATGGATAATGTATTGCTATAAATATTTTGAGTTTTTAATAATTATTTCTGTTCAAACGTGTCCTTGGTTTCCTGATCCACATTAAGAAAACCTGTAAGGACCGGAACAAAAACTCCTCTGAGATGGTTGTTTTAATCCAGCTCAGCTTTGTCTCCTTCGTACTGAAGAKGAGATCGACACCCCCCACCCCATGGTGCCCTGGCTCCTCTCAGGTCACCTGTGAGGCTCCGCCCACCTGAGAGGGGCAGCAGGGTGCGTTTAACAAGAGCCCCCTTGTCATCATTAACTCGTCTCTTGGTTTCTGCATCTGATCCAAACCAAAGGGAGCTCCTGGTGGAGTGGGGAGCAGCGGGGGYGTCTGACGGCGCTCACTCGTGTTCTGGGCGTGTTGGCGAACAGACAGAGCCAATCAGAACCCGAGTATTCAGCCACTTCAGCTCTGATTTAGGGGATTAGTGAGGCTTTGTGTCCTTTTGTATGAGTTACAGATTTGGTGTCTTTATTGTGTAAAATAATCCACTCATGTTGAGGCTGCCTCTCGCTCAGCTGTTTAAGTTTCAGATTTTAATTAACTAACAAGTTAAAAAGATAAATATCAAACCACAGAAACATTAAATCTCCTTTAACACTTTAGAATGATAAAACTCTATGAACCTGTTTTTTCTCCTCAGGACTACATGCAGAACGTCCACGGGAAGGAGATCGACCTGCTCAGGACCACYGTAAAGGTCCCGGGGAAGAGGCCGCCCCGCGCCGTGTCCTCTGGCGCTGCCGTGCCGAGTCCCAGCACCAACGGGCTGACGAAGGACATGAGCAACCTGCAGCTGGGTCAGACCTCAGGTTGGTCCAGACCACAGAMCCATTCACTTTCATCGCAAATAAACCACATGTTGGCTTTATTCACTGCATATTAGCATTCTAACACTGATAGCTCCTGTAGTTCTTGTTATTTTCTTTATGCTTGAATTTTATTTTCCTTCTTTATATTAAATCAGTATAAAATCTGTTGTATTTTTTAAAAACAATAGCAAAAACTGCTTTTAATTTTAAGTTATTGAGAAATAAATCATACTGAAAAAAATTACATTTAAACTTCAGCTTGAAAATTTTTTGAGTTAATTTAATTATATAAACAGTGAATCAGTTTGAGAAAAAAAACAATGAAAGTTGTTTCCTTTCATTTTGTTGATGTAAACATAAATAAAACTAAAACTTCAGAGTAAAAAAATAGCACTAAAAATAAAGTAAAAATACAACTGCAGGTTGTTATTAAAAAATAATGACTGGAAATAATTAGAAACTAGAAAATAAGATTTGCAACTAAATTAAAAACTAGATTATAACTACATAATAACTATAGAATAATAAGGATTCATAATAACTAAATAATAATTACAATAATAATAATAATAATAATAATAATAATAGTAAGTAGAAAATAATCACAACAAAAAATAAAACCTACATAATAGTAATAACAACAACAATAACAACTAATAATAATAATAACAAGACAATAAAAATAAATAGAGAATAATTTCCAAAAAATATAAAGACTGGTAAGTAAGAACTAGAATATTCAAATTACTAGTGAATGATAGTAATTAGTGAATATTTAGAAAATGAAAATAACTAGAACTGATTCATTAACAAATAATAATCACTAGTGTTTAATAACTGAAAAAACTAGAAACTAGTCAATAAAGAATAATGATTTATCTCATTCAGCGTGATAATTGGTGTAATAGCTAATTGCTGCTCTCGTTCCTGTGTATCTTCCACAGAGTGCATTTTGTTCTGATCCGTCAGAACGCAGAAATCCTTCTTTATAAAAAAAAACAAAGTGCTTCTTATCAGCTGGAGAAAGACGCTGTAAAACAAAGCAGGCGAGCGCTGCAGCATGTGGTGAACACATAGATCCAGGAGGCCTGAGCTAATAGCATGAATATTCAGTGAGCCGTGCTCCATGTACTAATTATCGTCATGAATATTAATGCAATCAGAGCCGAGGCTGCGCTCAGCCAGCACCCAGAAATGAGCTGTAATGAGAGAAGGAGAGAGAGTGGGGAGGGGGGGAGCCGGCTGCTGGACCGGGCTGCACTTTGGTTTGATTGAAACCAGGATGTAAGACGCTGCGTTTATGTCTCACACACACACACACACACACACACACACACATACACCAGTCGGCAGGAGAGAGTGGTCACATGACTCAGAACAGGAAGCCAGGCATTGGATCTGTCTCCACGTAGATTTTTAAATCAGATAAAACTAGACCTCCTGTAGTTTTCTCTTTAATGTGGCATCAAACACATTGATATTTGTGTAATCAGGAAACATCCAAATAAAAACAAATGTGAATGTTCTCATAAACAGTAACTGTGAGTTGAATTTATTGCGTGACAGTTTTTGRATACTGTATGTTTCTCCTCTGGCCTGTAGGGGGCAGTGTAATAAACACTTCCTGTTGATCCTGATCTCCTCCCTCAGGTTCAGTGTCCAACAGCTCATCGGTGTCTCAGATGGTCAGTGGTGTCAGCCTGGTGTCCTTCAACAGCCGCAGTCTAGAGGGGATGCACCAACGCTCTTACTCCGTCTCCAGCGCYGACCAGTGGACCGACGCCACCGTCATCGCCAATTCAGGAGTTAGCACGGGTCAGTGGCAAACACTTCCTGATGATTCCACAGTCCACACATCCACACATGCAGCTCCACACTGGGGCCTTGGAAACCTCACTCTGGAGCTCTGCCATGGGCCTCAAAGTTTCAGTGTGGAGCTCTGCTCTCATTTGTTTCCCACTGAGCCTCAGTGCGGAGCTCTGCAAGGAGGTCTGTCATTCCTCTCTCCTTGATCCAGCTGTCTGAGCTCTAATGTTTGTCAGGCTAATGGACTCGGTGTGTGTTTGACTTGAAGTGGCAGCATTACAACCAGAGGATCAAACAAACCCAGTGAGATTGACAGCTGTCACATCGTGTGTGCCGTCATGACGATGAGCTCGACTGGCAGCTATGTTGTCAGTGTTGAACCCTCTGGTTGTCTTCAAACAGTATTTAAAGGTGTGAAACACTTAAAGTGGAGTCCCAGGAGCAACAAAGACCATCAGAAATCCTCTGACAGTCTTTGACCACTCATTACTGGTGTCTGAGGATCCTTACAGTTTGATTTCTGATTCATTTAGGCTCKAAAACACTAAAAAATAACTAAAAATCTGCTTTTGAAGTTGGCAGTTGGCTGAGATTTACTTGTCTCAGTGTCAAACACATTGTTTCATTGCTAGTCCAGATAAACTGTGGGTCATAACATTATTAATGTCTCCTCACTTCCACAAAGACCAGCATAACAGATTGTAACATGTTAGCAGTTTTAATGACTTTAGAGAGTCGTGACAAAACAGACGGTCTACCCCAGGGGTGTTCAGTCCTGGTCCTTGCACGTTTTATTCTGCTCCAACACACCTGATTGGAGTGAATGGGTGATTATCAGGCTTCTGCAGAACTTGGAAGAGGTAATTCACTAACTGAATCAGCTGTGTTGGAGCAGGGAAAAAAGTAAAACATGCAGGGCTGGCAACCTTGAGGACCAGGATTGCCCACCCTTGGTCTATCTGGTAAATAATAAATGGACTGAACTTGTGTATCGCTTTATCAAGCCCCATCAGACCCCAAAGCTTTTTACACTACAGACATTCACCCATTCATGCACACATTCACACACTTATGGTGATACCTAAAACATGTAAACTCACCCACCAAAGAAAAATTAAACAAAAGACATTTTACTAATCCTAATCCTTATTATTCCTGACACAGAAAGAGGAGAAAACTGGTGTTTAAAGTAAGTCAGTCTAAAGATATATCTTTAAACCAGATTAAACCAGTCTAAATACATGTCTTTAAACCAATTCAAACCAGTCTAAAGACTTGTCTTTAAACCATTTTCAAACCAAAACAAAGCTTAAGTACAAAACCAGTCTAAAACTGTTTCCACACCAAAGTTGAAAAACAGTTTAAAGTAACAGTTTAAAATAACAGTTAACCATTTTTTAACCAAATAGTTTTCTAAAACTGGTTAAATGCAAAGYAAAATCAGTCCAGCTTAAACAATCCAAACTGCTTCAGAATATGTTCACACATCCTTATTCAAAGTGGTCTAAAAGGGACTCGAACTGAAATAATAATTTCCTAAAAGAAACCATAACTAATTTGAAGCTAAGTCTATACTGGTTTCTTTACCAATTCAGTCTGGTCTCCTGGTTCTTTTGGTCTCCTGCTGAATCGCAGTAATGAAGTTGTTTTTAACACTCCTAAACATGTTTGATTATTAGACTAAAATATCTCTTTCAAATGTTTAAATGTAGCTAAAATGCTTTATAAAAGCATTAAATCTTACATTTTTCTGCAGGTCACCTGTTCAAATCAACACAATGAAAATAATCATTTTATTTATGAAGTTATTTTTAAGTGTTATATTTTAAAAGTTCAGAGGGTCAGGGTAGCTCAGTGATCAGCGCCACTGTCTGTAATCCTGAGGCTCTAGGTCCGCTTTGGAGCCTGTGGTAGATCTCTCTCTGTGGCGATTCCTACAGAGGAAGCAGCTGAAAATAAAACAAACTTTTAAAGGTTCAGCTAAAAAACACAAACAGATCAAATCAGAAAACAATTCAAATTTAAACTGTTGTTCTGTAATCAGATCCTGGACTTAGTTCTCCAGGTTCTATTAGTGGTTCAGGCACAACCCTCGGAATAAAGCAGGAAGACCTGAGCTGAGAGTCTGGTCATTTTGAAGCTGAGGGGGGTCTGATGGAGCCTGGTTTGCAGATGGGGGGCCGTTAATCCACGGCGGTTAATTGCACGCTCGGGGATGGCATCTTGTCAGCAGAGATAAGTTGTCACATTTTCCACTTGAGCTGAGACTAAACGATTGTAAAATAAGTTATGGCCGTCCTTGGGGSTGTCCGCCATTCGGGGCCATGGCGCCCACCAAGCACTTGTGTGTGCTCGTTCCTGTCTCCACGTTCAGATACACACCGAGTCCTGTCAGAGCTCCGCTGYACTCTGATATTGATGGGAGCTGAATGTTATTTTATTCTGCCGCTAGTCACAGCTGTCAGCAGCTGCCTGAAGAGTGGAGAGCAGAGAAACTCCACTTCCTGCACCGATGCTCGCCTGCAGGTCTGAGTCWGAACTGAGCTCGCTGTCATTCAGGCTCTACGGGGTCTGATTATCAGGATTATATTCTTTAAAAAGCTTTAAGTCAGGAGGTTGTGATCTGAGTACTTTGTGATCCTACATTAAGTCTGAACAAAAACAAGTCCAAAAGAAAAGAATATCTACTAGACATCAGGGGCACTTACTAAGAGGGTCTGACAACAAAGGAATCCTGATCTCAGAGTCGGGTTCTAGATTCTACAGACTCAGACCTAACATCTAAAATCCACAGAATGTGACTGAGATGTGCTATTCACCAGGCTAGATCCAGGAGCAAAACCAGTCCAAGACTGAGACTGTAACCAGTCTAAACCTAAGGAAAAAAATCCAAAACCAAGAACAAAACTGCTTTAAATCCAAGAACTACATGAACCAAAAACCAAGAACAAAACCAGTCTGAACTCAAACATAAAACCAGTCTGAACTCAAACACAAAACCATTCTGAACTCAAGAACCAAACCAGTCTAAACCCAAGAACCAAACCAGTCTAAACCCAAGAACCAAACCAGTCTAAACCCAAGAACCAAACCAGTCTAAACCCAAGAACCAAACCAGTCTAAACCCAAGAACTAAACCAGTCTAAACCCAAGAACCAAACCAGTCTGAATGCAAGAACCAAACCAGTCTGAATGCAAGAACCAAACCAGTCTGAACGCAAGAACCAAACCAGTCTAAACCCAAGAACCAAACCAGTCTAAACCCAAGAAC